TGCCCTAAATGATAAGATGGAGGATGTTATAGGTATCGCTTGATGTGGGCAAAATACTCTCAATTTTCGTATTTTTACGATTTTCAGTACTTCGAGTTGCTTTTTGACGTTGCAATACCTCTTCAATTGTCACTGTTTCAACCCAGTTTAAGCGTAGTAGCATTCATAACATCCAGATTTCGAAACCTTGAAGTTTATTTAATAGTGATTTTGTGAGCGTCCAGCTTTCAACTCCATACAATGATATCGAGAAGATGTAATATTTAACGAATCTTATTTTGAAGTTACTATTAATACTTCGTTCACATAATACTTTTTCATTCAGAAGAACACTGCTCTGGGCTTTCGAATGCGGAATTTTATCTCCTTCACTATCCCAAGTGTCATTTATATTGTAACGTGTCGAAAAGCCGATATGTTACATTTTGTCTAATTTTCCTTTATTTTACTAAATTTTGTATAACACTAAGTATATAGTTTATTATTTGGTCAGTATTGCTCAAGAGATTATTTCATGTAGCTAATATTTCCCAACACAACAACCGTCAATTTTTTGTGTTTTCTACGACCCGCTATACTCTGCTTAAAAGATATCGATTCCAATCTTTTATAAAATTCCGTTATGTTTTGTTTGCAAATATTCTAAATAATACCTATAAAGTTTATGAACAAGCTAAAATGATAGTGAAGTTGGGTAATGGAATCGAAATAAGACCAGTAAAAATCAACCGAGGAGTAAGACAAGGAGACACAATATCTCTAAAATTATTTACAGTTGCCCTAGAATATAATTTTTAAGTCAATAGACTGGAAAATAAGGGAATCTCTATTAACAGAAGATAGTTGAACCATCTTAGATACGCAGATGATGTAGTACTAATAGCCGACACGTGGAATGTACTGAATACGATGATTATAGAGCTACACACAGAATCCCTAAAAAAGAACTGAACATGAATTTCAGCAAAACTAAACTAATGTCAAACAAAGATGACAAACCTATGATAAACATCGAAGGGACAAAGATAGAACACCAAGATGAATATATATATATATATATATATATATATATATATATATATATATATATATATATATATCTGGGTCAAAATGTCAAGGTAAGCAAAGAAAATCAGACTACCGAAATAAGCAGACGTGTAAAAATGGGATAGGCAGCATTTGGAAGGCTCTCATACGTACTTAACAATAAAAATATACCTCAAAGACTACGAACTAAAGTGTTTAATTCCTGTATCCTACCTGTACTTACATATGGAGCTCAAACCTGGACATTCACTAAAATAAACATGGAGAAGATCAGAAAAACTCAGAGAGCTATGCTGGGTATCTGACTCAAAGACCATAAAACCGATGAAAACATTCGGAGTAGAACAAAAGTAAAAGATGCTGTCGAACAGGCAGCTAAACTGAAATGGAAATGGACTGGACGTAACGAACATCTTACGGATGGCCGATGGAATAAAGAAATCGGGAATTGGCGGCCATATGAAGCCAAAAGACCACGAGGAAGACCTCAAATGGAGCGACGATATTAAAAGAACTGCAGGGCCAATGTACATAGAAACGTCTTACAAACAACAGAGATGAATGGCGAGAATTAAGAGAGGTCTATATTCGGCAATCCGAATAGAGAAAAAGGGCTTAAAAAAAACCTTTTAAGTTATTGGCACAATGCCGCCAAAGTGTCCATCTATGAAAACCGTTAGGTTAGCAAAATTTAGATTATTTCATTCTCCTAGAGACGTCAACGGTACTTTATCCAAGTAAATATTTTTCTATAAAAGGCACCTTTTTAATTCTTTTTATTTTTTGTTTTGCAAGCAAGAGAAGAACGACGATTCTACGCGTGTACGAGACTCGTCTAAAAAGGGTAAGATTTTTATTTTTCTACCTGTTGTTCCTTCCTATATTTTATTTGCATTTTCTCGTCTAATTAGGGTCCTAGGACGGAGACCACTTTCATTCATCCTAGTTTGGAGGCCCTCTTTATCCTAATCTTTTTGTCTCAGTTTGGACGTAAACCCCCTAGGCTCGGAGATAAGTAATGTTTTTAGTTTTTTTTCTATCTCAATACCATATTATGCTGTAATTATGTAATCCACCGGTATTTTGCTGACTACCATATATACCATATATAGTTTTTAAAGTATTAAGTTTTGAGCCGCATTTTTCGCATTCTCCACTCTAGTTCTTTCGCAAGCAACACAGTATCATCTGCATATATATGATCACTGATCTGAATTCCGTTGACCGTGATACCTATCTTAACCCTGGTAAGTATCTCTTTAACAATATGCTCGGAGTACAGGTTAAAAAGCAGTGGTGACAAGATGTGCCTGTATATCTCAAAAATTTCAATTTATTCAGAAATCTTTCTTCTTTCTTTTTCAGCCTGTGTTCGTCCACTGCTGGACATAGGCCTCTTCCATTTGCTTCCATCGATTTCTACTTTTGGCAATTCTCATCCACTGCTTGCCCGCGACTTGTTTGATATCGTCTGTCCACCTCTTCTGCGGTCTGCCTACTCCTCGCCTGTTCTCTCTTGGTCTCCAGTTTGTTAATCTTTGTGTCCATTTTTCGGGATTATCTCGGGCAACGTGTCCGACCCATTGCCACTTGAGCCTTGCAATACGTTCTGAGACATCAGTAATTTTTGTTCTTTCACGAATGACGTTATTTCGAATCCTGTCTCTCAAACTAATCCCTAGCATGGCCCTCTCCATTGCTCTTTGGGTTGTACTGAGCTGCTCTAAGGTTTTCTTTGTGAAGGCCATGGTCTCCAGTCTATATGTAGTCACAGGCAAGATACATTTGTCATAAACTCTACGTTTTAGACACATTGGTATATCTTTATTCTTTAAAATAAAGCTTAATTTGCCGAAAGCTCCCCAAGACAGTTGTATGCGTCTTTTTATTTCGGCTATTTGATTCTCTTTGCCGATTTTAATGGTATGTCCAAGATATATATAGTGGTCTACATTTTCAAGACTGACGTTGTCAATAACAAGATTAGTTTGTAAATTACTCATTATTTTTGTTTTCTGAAGGTTCATTTTGAGACCTATTTTATTTGACTGCTGGTTTAATTCCTTCAACATTTGCTCCAGTTCCTTGATATCTGTACTAAATAATACTATGTCATCCGCAAACCTCAAATGACTCAAACGTACACCATCAATGTTTAGACCTTTTTCCTCCCAGTCAAGCTTTTTGAATACATTTTCCAATGCTAAGGTAAAAAGCTTTGGTGAAATAGTATCACCTTGTCTAATACCTTTATCAAGGCGCATTTTTTCAGTTTTTTCGTCTTCATTGATTTTGATGTGGAATGTGGCCTGTTCATAAATGTTTTTAATGAGTGTAGTGTACCGTGAGTCTATTCGAGCATCCTTCAGGGCTGACAAAAAGGACCAAGTCTCAATACTATCGAAAGCCTTGTGAAAGTCGATAAATGCCATATGTAAAGGTACATTATATTCTGTGGTTTTTTCTACTAGTATTCTGATGGTTTGTAAGTGATCATTAGCGCCAAACCCTTTTCTAAATCCCGCCTGTTCAACCGGTTGATATAAATCAAGTTTTTGTGTTATGCGGTTGGTTATTATTCTTGTTAACAATTTGTATAAGTGTGACAACAAACTTATAGGTCTGTAGTTTTCAATATTAGTAGTGTCTCCTTTCTTGTGTAAAAGTATTATTTCGGCGTTTTCCCATAGGCTGGGTATTCTTTTTTCTGTTTACTGTTACTGTTACTTATTCAGTAAGACTTCCACAACTTCTACAACGATGTTGCCGCCCATTTTTAACATTTCAGACGTTATACGATCCTCGCCGGGAGCTTTTTTGTTTTTCATTTGCTGTAAGGCATGTCTAATTTCCGAAGAGGTTATTTTAGGGAGGGTTTCCGAGCCGACGTTTAGAATTGTTCTGTGGTCTGTTTCGGGGTTCTGTATAGTAGATGTATAAAGATTCTTATAGAACGTTTGTATTTCCTTGATTATTTGAGTTTTTTCGGTCACCGTATTCCCCTGTTGATTTTTTATTTTAGTTATATTTGATTTTCCTTTAGTTAAATTTGATTTCAATACTCTCATGTTTCTATTGTTTTCGATGGTTTGCAATATTTGTTTTGTTTTATAAGCCCGCAAGTCTGACCTTATGCTCTTTTTAACTTTATTGTTGATAGCTTTATACTCTGGTAATTCTTTCGATGTTCTTCTTCTTTCTTCCATTAAATTAAGTGTTGTTTGTTTCAGTTTCGTTTTTCTGGGATTTTTATTTTTATCACAGATCTTTTTTGCAGTTGATATTATGTCGTTCGTTAATTTTTGTGTTATTTCATTTATATCTTTCGTGTTGAATACTGGTAGAGGTCCTAGTTTCTTTTTTAGTTCACTTTGATATTCCTCTTGATTCAGAAAATCTAGATATTCAGAAATATCTAGACCAATTCTGTCAACTGCTCTACATGAACTGTAATATAGGGTAGAGACAAGAAGTTTTGGTCAGTCAGTAAAATGTTAAACAATATGTATTAAAATCCATATTGTTGTAAGTTCTTGTTCAAATTTCCCGTTATATCTTTCATTCAGATAATATCTACTGGATATTTGTAAGCATTTTTCACACTCACAAAATTATATTATTTTTATGTTTCTCCCTTTCTATCAATTATAGTCTCTGTTACGGTGAATGGCACCCCACATAGATATATACAAAGAAGCGGCATAGAGCGATACAGTAGCTTTAGTCTGTTCTTATTCGAAAAATTCGACAAAAATATACAGTAGTTACAAAATAAAATTTAACCGCAAACAAGAACTCTAACGAAAGTTATAAAAAATAGAATTTTCCAGAAGATGGATAAATGGCAAATTTGGCATAAATAAAATTATTTTTATTTAAATGTTAGTGATGCTTTCGGGTTAAGATACAAAATTTGTACTGTAGTTAATGCAAAATATTGTTAAAAAGGTCCACGATTCGAGTTTTTTAATTATACTTTGATAACTTATACATGCTTTTGGCTATATCTATTAAGTATTGTTAAGATTCTGTGTTGTATACACATTTACAACTCAAATGGCTTTCCTAAACCAGCCCAATGATCAGGTACTTCCAAAAAATACTTATGCATCGCCTCCATAAAACGTTTTTGATACTCTTCTGGCGAGATTATAGTGGGTAATTTGCCTTGTCCTCCTAAAATACCACTTTTCTTGACCATTGTTTCTAATCTCTTATCCCAGGTAAACGTTCTTATATAATCTGAAATCATATAATACGATAATAAACACATATTATAATAGAATAGATATATATAATAGTCTCAAAATTCTAACTATATATATTAAAATAAAACATCACCAAATGTATCTACGCAATAAAACTAATATTTACCTATAATTCCTAGAACTAATTCCTTATTATCAGGATCCAGTCCAACTAATAATGAATAATCCATTACAGATTGGGCTGATAAAAATTCTGTATCGTTCTGGATGGCGTTTATTAATACGGTTTTGGAATGTTGTAATACATATAACGGGGAATCACAGGTCACTAAAATAACAATATTGTTAACAAATTAATATGTTCTTCTGAGGAAAGTGCAAAATTTAATAAATCGTCGTCAGAGTTTTGCCTGTTTCATTTTAAAAACAGGAATGTACCAGTAAACATATCGTTACAATTATACAGTGCAAGTATCTCATAACATATTTTATGAACCATAAAAATAAAATTAATAAATATTTGAATAACTAAACTGAGGTATTTGTTAATCGTTTTTATGATGTTTCAGTTGCATAAATGAAAATGGCTTGCATTTTGTAAGATAATTCTAAATAAGTTCATGGGGTAAGTAATACCACACTTGACAGCTCCTTTCACATTCTTTTCAGCGACGGGTTTGAGTTTGAGTTATAGGGAGACTCTTTTTGTATTATCGAACCTTAGCTAAGCTTGTAATAGAAGACCCCATATGTTGGTCATTTTAATCAGCATTTTAATATAGTTGCGTTATGGCAGAATCACCAAAGAATTACACCAAACAATAAATCATTAGTAAGAGACAATTATATATAATAATAAATAAAAAATAAATGCTTACTTTTCATTAAATTCTCATCTAGCAGGACTATTTCTTCTCCTTGATTGTCAGGAATAACTAATCTATTCCTCATAGATCCTTTGAGATCAAATTTTTGAGAAACCTTTCTGTTATAGAACAAGTTCTCCATGACTAGAATATTTGATCGATAGGGTACACTAGAATTGTTTTTAAATACTATCTGGTATATTCCTAAAATTTTTCCCAAGAGGGTCAGTTGTTTGGTAGCTTGGCATTTGTGCATGTAGGCAAAATAATTGGAAGATGCTTCGAGAAATAAATGAATTTCCGATTTTGACATTTCTTTGAGTATAAATCTATCGTCTGAAACAAATAAAATTAATAAATGTTTAATATTAAAAAAATATATCGTTGATTATAAATGCGGTGTCGCTATGAAGCGGCGGTAATATATCGTGATACATTAAGCGTACAAATATGTCGCTATGTTCCTCTTTACGGTGATCACAACTATCAACCTAGAGAGCTTCCACTAGCGTTTAGTTAGGGTAGAATTGAGTGCAATACTCATTATTGCACTCAGCGGATATTAAAAGATGAAAATAATCATTAGAAAGAAAGTTAAATAAATTTATAAAAGTCGAGTTTATCTTCCAAACATTACTATAGGTTGGTTATATCATAAAAATATATATCTCACGTACAAATTATCGTAATTCATGTTAAAAAATAAGGCTTACCTATGGTTTTCGAAAAATTTGATCCGGATTTTCCACCTCTTGCATTCCATTGCGCAGATCTGGATAATGACCTTATATAGCCCTCTTCGCCCATCGGCAAAACAGCAGCTCTAAGTGCTGCAAATTTTTCAGCTAAGTAAACCCTACAGAAGAAATTGCTAGTTCCGTCCTGGAATTGTACCTCAACGTGAGTTTTACGTACTTTCTTAGCATCCTCTTGTAGTTCTGCCAATCTCGATTGTTCAGCACTAAAAAGCAGAGTTAAATGCATATTATTATAAGAAACAAAACCAAAAGGGGCAGTTGCTGCAAAATAAAACTAGGTTGTCAGTCCCAAGCCCAGATAAACGAGGAGGCTACAGGCAGGTTAGCACCCTACTGATAGATTTCAAACCCATATAGCTCATAAAAACAGGACTATTTTTCGGAATAGAAAAGATTTCAACGTTTCCTACGAGGTCTGCTGTCCTACATATATAAAAAGCAGGGATCCTTTGTATATCCACGTTGCTGTCCAAACGTTCTGTCGACACAAATAATCCATTGGAGCATGTGATATTGCAACAGATCAATAACTCTCTTTATGTCTTCATATTTTTCACTCAAACGAACTGAATGATCTATCGAGACTGAAGCAAAAAAATTTTCATTGTGAAACAGAAAACACTTCAAGCTTCGCTTTGAGTTATCGATAAACAGTCGCCATTCAGTTGTCTTATAGGCTGAAATTCCCAACTCTTCTATTAAATCGCATACATTATGGCAAAACACAAATCCGCCATCACTTGGAAAGTATCGTAGAAACGAACTTTCCCTTCATCGAAAATAGGTTACCTTAGCTTGCTTTTCAAGCTAGTTTTTTTCAAAGCAATCTTGATGCTAAGACCTGTGAAGGTTTTTTGGATAGCTACAAATCTCGTACTAAATCATTCAATTCTTGCTGCTTCAATCCCATCTAACGGAGGAGGTTAGTCTCAGCCAATAGGAGAGCAATCGTGTTTCCTATGATCCATGCTAAATTGTGGGGTAGAGAAAAAACTTGACGAGATAGAGAAAAACTAATTATAACCCGACAAGCGAGAGCTGGCGGGTTGCGCGTAGAACAAATTGAAAAATGGAAGGGATTGCTCATGTCTATTGCAGTCGGCTAGGAGTTCACATCGTGTATAACCGTTTAAGTACCTATACTATATACCTATAATCGCGATTAAGTACCTCTCCTATCTCTCTTAGAATAATTCCTTTTCTATTTTCGCGCAACTCACCCGCCAGCTCTCGCTTGTCGGATTTTTGTCGATTGCAAGGATGATAGCATTATCTGCAAACGTACCAGTGATGGTTTCATTATTGGAGCGTAGATCTGCTGAGTATAGCACATTATAATATTGGACCAAGAACGCCGCCCTGTGGGACACATGATTTCATAGAAAAATTATTGGAATTACTTTGATTCACTCTTGTTCGGAATTCTCTTCCACTTAGATAGGAATTAAACAGTTTCAGGTAGGTGATGGGAAGATATTTCTTGATTTTGAAAATCAGGCCTGTGTACCAAACCTTGTCAAAGGCTTGACTAACGTCTAAAAAGGCAGCTGTGAAGTACTGTTTGCTTTCCATTGCAGAATTTATGGAGTGTACTATTCTGTGAATCAGCTGTATCGTTGAGTGTTCTTTTCGAAAGCCAAATTGGTGGTTGGGTATCCATTCGAGGTATCGAAGTTCTAGGTTTTTTGAAGTTTTTGATCTGTTTCCATATTGAGTTATCGTGCCGGATAAGATTTGTTATGTTGTTTGTAAATGACAGTACTTGTGCCTCTTTAAGTTTGGATTTTAGTTGATTGCTTAGCCTGTTTAATGTATTGTTGTCTGCTGAGGCATCGGTTCGGTGCCATTTGGTCCTAGCCTTCCTTTTTTGAGCTACCACCTTTTTTATTATAGCTGGGATGCATTGGGCTTTGCTACATGTATTGTTCGCAGGTGTAGCATTTTGTATGGCCTCTATGAGAGTATTTTTTAAGGCTGTTATTGTTTCATCTACATCTCTTGTTGTTTTAAGGCTTACTTGTAGATTGATATCTTTTTCTAATTTGCTACGGTATTTGTCCCAGTGTGCAGCCTTGGAGCGACCGTTTTGTAGACCATGAAGCTGCTAATTGTTGCTATAATTGGGGATGAAAGGGTCGGATGAAAGGTCATAGCTAGGAATGACTTCCACGTAAGCAAGAGAGATGTTCTAAGTGATAAATAGATCCAGCAGATCAGGTGTTTTGTTTGGATCCGTTGGCAAATATATAGGAGAGCTTGTTGACAATAGGTGGTAATTGTTTTCATGTATTAGGCTGACTAGTTCTCTGGCATAAGTGATTGTGAGACGAGATCCAAATAATGCATGTTTGCTGTTGAAGTCTCCCCCTACAATGAATTTATGTCCTTGAGTTTGAAAAAAGTTTGTGAAACCTTCTTTCTTTAAGTTGTATCGGGATAGACAGTAGACTGCTGTGACTGTTAGTTCGTAAGACCTCATGCTGACTTTGATAACTGTAGCTTTCAAGCAATTTTGAGCATACTTTGGTAGTTCTGCATGTTTAATGGTATTTTTTATCAGAACAGCCGATCCAACGTGGGTTGTATTGTATGGATGGTTTGAAGAATAGGTTGGGTAATGAGTTATCTTGAAGTAAGTTTGACTTGTGAAGTGGCTTTAACTGATTAATAATTAATAAATTAATAACACGAAATGATATAATACACTCAGATAAAAAAAAAGGAAAATGAAGAAAAAAGGTAACCACTTGCGTTAATATGACTATATAGTGCATTAGAGTAAAAACGGGAAAAAGTTAAAAGAAATTAAAGAGAAATCGAGGAAACACAAAATTTGGACGAAATGAATCGAGTTGTTAGAGACAGAAAAATAAAATATTAAAATATATGAGTGACGAGAAACCTGATCCGAATTTAACACCGAAAAGTTCCTAGAAATAAAATGGAAGTAATCTTACCTCACATCTGGATTTGCCGTAATATTTGCCACATTACTTGCTTCTTTATTTTTCAAAAATCCTAACAAATTCTTCCCCTTATCATCATCTAGTTTTTCCCTTTCGCTATTGCTTCTCCTCTTTAGAATCGGGCTGTTGGAAAGATCTGCCTGCGGTTTCTTAGCGGTCAAATCTTCCAATAACTTTTTATATTCGACTGAAGCTAGAGTATACGAAACTATAGAACTGGGTTCACTTTCGAGAACTACTAATGGAATTGATGAATCAGATAAGCCGTAATGTTCGCCGTTATTAAATGGAGCCTAAAATAAAATATTTATCAATTAAATAATCTAGACGAATACTAATATGAAAAATGAAAACAATTTGTTGTGTGAGAATGAAATACCCATTCGTCAGCCTAATACCAAACGAAATACAAGAATATTTAGTTGGATTTAAGCTTAAACCATTTTGTTCCAACCACAAACATACATTATTTACCTCATATTGCAAAAGATCTCTATCCTATTTATCATGTACACAACGAAATAACTTAAGATCATCAGTAAATAGCAGAAAGTGTGAGTTTTTGATAACCTTGCCAATATTGTTAATAAACCAGTTAAAAACAAGAAACCACAATGAGAGCCTTTTGGGGGGTGACCAGAACAGCAATGGAATTCTTTTAAAATATAATTGGTAATACGAACTTGCTGTGTACGTTCCATCAGAAAACTTTTAATCCAATTAACAATGGGGTCACTAACACCAGATGTATGAAGTTTGTGGACCAAAAGGTTATAATTAACCTGGACAAAGGCCAAAGGCCTTTGAGAAATCCTTGTAAGTGCTGTCGACCTGAATTTTATTCTCAAATGCACCCAACAAGTATTGTTGGTAATTAACAAGGTTTGTTTTACTGTTGACTTCCTACTAGAAAATCCATGTCGCTTCTCAATAATTATGTTTCTGCAAACCCAGATGAAATTTATCGATGCTAATTTATCAAGAAGTTTCGGGATTGTTGATTGAACCTATACCTCTATAATTGTTAACACACTTACGATTGCCAGATTTACAGATAGGTGTAAGAAAACTATTTTTCCAATATTGTGGAAATACAGATGACGACAATGATCAATTGAAAATTTGTTGTAAAGGTTTACAAAGGGAAAAATACAGTTCTTAATAAATGCTGCAGGTATATCATTAGGAAGTGAAGAATATGTAGTTTTTAAACTCTAATAATCCCCTCGAAATCATCAGTCAGACTAAATTTCAGAATCTGGAAATCCACGCTATGGTCCAATTCAAAATTAGGTAAATTATACTCACCATCTTACTCATCTTTAATATACATTACACTTTAATAAGAACTAGACCTACGTATAGCACTGAAATGCCTCCAAAAAGAGCGGAGATTACTTGAAAGACTTGCTTGAATATTCTCTAAATGGTTCTTATAACATACTGCTTGTAATGATTTACATCTTTCCCTTAACACCGAAAATTCCTCATTTGAGTTGCCTGATGTTTTAAAATTCCTGTGGGCTATTTTTTTCTGTATGACGAGCTCAATTAATTCTCGCAAAAACCAAACTGGAAAGTTCAATGATTTAAACCGTTTGATAGGAACAAACGTATTCATGGCATCATATCATGCCGCAATTAATATCTTATTCATCTAATACCTTGTTCCAAGGAATTGAGGCTAAATATTCATTTAAAACTTGATAATCATGATAGAAGAAGATTTAAGAAACACATTTAAATTGGCTGCATGTAACAATATAGTATAAGCTGAATCAGTTGGAATCGACACAACTGCATCTGAGTACAGAAAAGTAGATCTACAAATTTATTATTAAGGTTAGGCAAAGTATTTTAAAAATTGTAGCAAGTACAAATAATATTTGAGAGAGATACAGTCAACTGTAACGCCATTATTAAGATTATCCCAAGATGCCTCAGGTAGGCTGTAGTCAGCATAAATACAGAATTCACAATCACTGAATCTATCCGCTAAGTCCAACATACAGGTGGAATGCTCCCCAGATGCCGTGGAGGAAAGTACACAGCACCAATTACTAACTTTTTTGTGACACACATTACCTGTGTAAAAACATGTTCCACAGAGGAATCGCTAGGCCTAACCATCATTGAATGAAGGCGCTTATGAACAGCAATAAGAACACCACGACCACGAGTCTTTGAACTAATTTGAGTGTCCCTCTCATGTCAATACACATTTAAGTCACTCAATCCCAATTCAGCATCTAAGATTCTAGATGTAAGCCATGTTTCAATAGTAATAATAACATCATAACTAGGGAGGCTCACGGCATGTCTAAAATTCTGAAGTTTGGTGCACATTCCTCCAACATTTTAAGTACCCCATTAAAGTACTTGATCTTCAAGTCATTCTTACCCTGCATTTTTGTGCATTCTAACTCCTAATAAACGGCCTTCACTTTCTCACGCTGTAAAGAGGTAAGATCAGCTGCAATGCGCAATTTAGAATACGTTGAAGCTCTACGATGTTTTAAACATCATTTTTACTATTGCTGAATCATGAAATGCGACTTTAAGAGGTCTTGGTTTATGTGTTAGTGGACCAAGACGAAAAGCTTTAAAGGTGCTGTTCGTTACAACTATTTTATTGAGAATTCCTTGGACCTCATTTCTATCGTATTCAGCACGGATGTTAGATTCACTGGAATCATTTTCAGGTACATTATATGTATATATATATATATATATATATATATATATATATATATATATATATATATATATTATATATATACATCCCGCCATCATTTTAAACTCGTTTCACGTTGCAGTAATTTAGCATCACCAAGAAAATCTATTATTTTCTATATATAAGTCGTGTATGTTCGTTTAGTGCACCTCTGTTGGCTTAGCAGCGTTGTCGGTTTTTCAATATTCTGATTTTTTTTATATATTTAATTTTTTACATCAATCCTACGTTTTAACATCGATCATTTAAAATCACTGTATTTGCTATCATTTTAAAGCCAATAGATGTTGCCGGTATTAATACTTAAAATAATATCTAGGTACATAAATATCGATCCGTTTTCGGTCAACGTGCTAACGACCTGCTAACACGTTGCGGTCTTAACTGGTTTTTTCTTTGCCTAAATGTTAGATATATTTATTTAAGGTAGATATTTTTCCCAGAGAATTGTGTAGGGGAATATTTTACATAAATTTCAATTTACAACCTGTTTAATCCAAGCTATTGGTGAATAGTTTGAGGTAAATATTATGTTTTTATGGGATTACGCCTCAATTATTGGTTGTAATTGTGATAAGAATCACATTTTTAATTAACTTGTGTTTGACATTTTGATTTCCATTCCGGAAATCGTTCTCAAAAACGTTTTTTTTGTACAAAATGTGTATACACATTTTAGATAATTTGTACAATAAACAATAAATATTAGTTAATTAAAAATGTAATTAATATTACATTTTTATATACATAATATACATAAAAAAATAATATTTAACTTAACCATGCAACAAGAAAGTATTTCACAGAACCTCGGTAAATAGTTTTCAAAAATCTACGGTTATTTAAATTCTAAATAGTATGAGAGATACTATTGTACTATATCTATACTCTAATATGTATCTATATGTATCTATACTCTAAGATGTACAGTTGATTATGCTTTGTTTTTTTTTTTTAACAATCTTAAAAGATACAAAAAAAATGTTTTCTTGTAAAACGTTTTTTTTACATTCTAAAGAAAAATGATTAAAATAAAAGTTGTAGACCATAAAAGGTTTTTTATGTTGAGAGATACCAAATTAAAATATATAATTAATTGAGCAAGGTAATTGCAAAAAACCCTAAACTCTAAAATATTATGTTTTTAGTAATTTATAAATGATAATAATTGAATTTTTTGCCCAACGGCAGATAATATAGCTACTTCAAATTATCGCAAGTAATGGGTTTTTAAGGTGTGCTAAATAGTAAGCAAATCACTTTGAACTTGTCCAAATACTTGTCCAATACTTGTATGTACAAGTATTTTGTAATTTGCAATCTTAATGGCTTATAAGAAAACAAAGAGACAAAAACAGAACCATATTTAACCAATAAGAACTAAGATAACATTTAATTCTTAAAATCATATTTTTTATTGTTTATTAGTACAAGATCTAAAAATTGAAAAGATTTTGAATTAAGATCTATAATATATGATCGAAGTTATAGATGGCTTACACAGTAAAGGAGTAAAATGTTATAACCCATTAAAATAATGGTATTCGTAAATTACCGCCACGGAAAAGTACCATGGAGGTAAGAACTGACTGAGCTTGTTTTTTTTTTAGATTCGGACTTTAAATTGAAGCACGCTTGCAAAATATTTAATATCTCGGCTTCTGTGGCACGTAGAACCTTCATTTCTTTACTAGGGTAGCTCAACCAAATAATAAGAATTGTGCTATTTTGACCTATCTTACTAAATTTTTCCGTTGAAAGTACGAACTCTTATAAAAGCGAGTTCGATTTACAGAATACACGTGTGTATAGAGAGTACAGAGTGACTATCTGGTCAAGTACAGTCGTTTAGATAATCGCTCTTTGGGATAAACAAATTGGATAACTTTGTGATCTATGTGAAATATACCACACTTTAATAATGTATTCTTCTTCTCTTCTTCAGCCTTCATTTATCCAATGTTGGACATAGGCCTCCTCCAATTGCTTCCACGCTTCCCTATCTTTTGCAATTCTCATCCACTGCTTTCCAGCTACAGCAGTTATATCGTCTATCCATCTCTTTTTAGGTCTTCCCACGCTTCTTTTTGTTTCTCGAGGTCTCCAGAATGTCACTTTATGAGACCATCTGTTGGTGTCTTGTCTTGCTACATGTGCTACCATTGCCATCTCAATGTCGCTATTTTTTCCATGATGTCGGTTACTTTAGTTCTTTGACGTATTTCGGTGTTAGGAATTTTGTCTCTGAGGCTTATATTTAACATGGCCCTCTCCATGGCCCGTTGAGTTACTCTTAATTGTTCTGCCATTTTTCTTGTTATTGCCATAGTTTCCAATCCATAAGTTGCAACTGGTAGTATACAAGTGTCATAGGTTTTTCGTTTTAAGTGAATTGGGATTTTTCTGTCTTTTAAAATGAAGCTCAACTTACCAAAAGCAGCCCATGATATTTGTGTCCTTCTTTTAATTTCTAGGGTTTGATTTTCCTTTTCGTTTTTAATTGCATGTCCTAGGTATAATATATTGTTCTACCTTTTCTATATTGATGTTATCTATCGT